CATGCTTTCCAAAAAGTGTGCCAAAAAATGTATCCTTTCAGCCTTCAGGACAACCAGGAGAGAAATTCTTGGGTCACAGGGTAGGTGTGCTTTTGATTTTATGACAAACTGCTAAGTTTTGAACATGATGGTATCATTTTCACACCAACCACTGCTGTATGAAAGTTATGGTTGCTCTACTTATGTTTATATGTCAGTCTTAAATTTTAGCCATTTTTGTGGGTGTGTAGTAGTATCTCATTTTGTTTTCCTGATGACTAGTGATGTTGAGTATCTTTTCATATGCTCAGTGGCCATTCTTATAAAGTGTAGGTTTAAGATTTTCACTCAATTTATTAGTGTTGTCTCTTTTTCTTTTTCTTTTTTTTTTTAATCATTGAGTTGAGTTGTTTTTTATATAGTCTGGATACAAGCCCTTTGTCAGATACAGGTACTATGATTATTTTCCCTCAGTCTGTTGTTTGCCTAATGTTCTCTTTCGAGGAACATTAATTTTTAATTTTTAGTTCAATTTATCAACATTTTTCTTTTATAGACAGTGCTTTCTGTCTGTCTCTCCCAAAGTTGTGATGATATTCCAATATATTTTTCTAGAAGTATTATAGTTTTAGCTTTTTTAAAATTTAGTTTTGGGGGGGGGGGAAAGGAGAGAGAAAGGGAGAGAGACATTGATGTACAAGATATACATCAATCAGTTGCCTCTCACATGTCCCCAACTGGGGACCTGGCCCACAACCCAGGCATGTGCCCCAATTGGGAATCAAACCAGCTATCCCTTGATCTGCAGGCCAGCACTCAATTCACTGAGCCACATTAGCCAAGGCAGGTTTAATTTTTATGTTCAGTCCATCTTGAATTAATATTTGTGTAAGATGTTAGGTAGGAATCAAGGTTGATGTTTTCCCACATGGATATTAAGTTATTCTAGCACCATTTGATGAAAAGACTTTCTGTTCCTAATTGTGTTCCTTTGGTGCTGTTGTCAAAAACCAACTGGCTACATATTGTTTGTTTCTGGACTTTCTATTCCTTTCCATTTATTTATTTAAATATCCGTATGCCAGTATCACACTGTCTTGATTACTATTGTCTTAAAGCCAGACAGTGAAAGTCCTTTAACTTTTGTCACCTTTGTCATGATTGCTTTCAGCTATTCCAGGCCCTTTGCATTTTCATATACGTCTTAGAATCAGCATGTTGATTTCTACCGTAACAAGTCTGATGGGATTTTATTTGGATTTTTATTTGATTAATTCTATTGATCAGTAGTTCACAAAGTGTGGACTCTGGACCAGCAGCAGCAGCATCACCAAGACAAGTGTTATAAATACAAATATTCAGAAATTACCCCATACCTAGTTGATCAAAAACTCTGGGGATAGGGCCCTGCAATCTGTTTTTAAAAGCCTTCCCAGTGACTCTGATGCATGATAAAAGTATGAGAATTACTGCTGTGTGTCAATTTGGGAGAATTAGTATCTTAACAGTACTAAATATTCCAATCTATGAATATAGATATTTCTCCTTATTAATGTAAGTCCTCTTTAATTTCTTTCACCAATGTTCTGTAGTTCTAACTGTATATATCTTGTATATACCTTGTTTAAGTTATATCAGGGTATTTTATGTTTTTGATGCAAGTATAAATGGCATTCTAATTGCTACTGGCTAACTTTTAGCCATGGTATACAGGTGTTGTGGCCAGAAGGCCATTTGAGGGTAGGAGTTTACAAAGATATTTGAAAAAAAAAAAGTAGAGAGTTCAAATGATTGGTAGCATCTTGAAAACTAACTAGTTTTAACAAGCATCCAAGAATAGGAGGTTGTTTCCAATGAACAGGGATTAGGCATAAACAACTGCAAAGATCACAAAAAAAGGGACAACCAGACATTATCATCTCCTATAGTCTTGCCAAACATTCTCTACAACTGTTGACAAAAAGATCAAACATGAGTATATAGCATCGGGATCTAGATGCCAATCTGAGAGAAAGATAGGGTAACGTGAAGAACATAAAATCAGTAAATTGAGACTATGGCAAACTCTACATGTCAAATGGACTGGAGTTTTCAACAGATAAATCTATAAGGAAATAAAAAGATGGAGGAGGAACATATAGGTTGGAAAAGATTTAAAACAGATATGAAGTTTTTACATGATAGACAAGTGTAAACTATAATGTAGGTTTAAGTGATAAATTTTAAAATGTGAGGAAATAATTACTATAAAAGTCAGGTTCAGGGTTGCTTTCATGGGGATAAAGAAGGCTGTGCTGAGATGGGACATGTGACTCTGGAGCAGCTGGCAAAGTTCTATTTCCATACCTGGGTGGAATTCACCTTACAAAGTAACCCATTAAGCTATACATTTAATTCTTGTGGTTTTCTGTATACACATCTTAATTTATATTAAATAGGTTTTTTTCCTTTAATATGACATATCTAGAATCTATGTTTTACAAGTTTTAGGGGTAGAATAGTGTTTGGTGAAGATAAGAACTGAGGTATGTTTATGAAAATAGGTGTCGCCTTGAGGTAGGGATACTAGTGTGGATGAAGTCAAAGAAATCAACAGCTAAGACTGGGAAGATATTGAAGGGAGAAGTCTGTAAATCTGGTTCTGACCCCTATATCTGTGTGGGAGAGTGGCCTGGAGACTGGCAAAGAAAGAAGTGACAAATATGTAGAAAGAATGACACTTGAACTGCAAAGGTACTACACTCCCCTGGGCCCACAAAATGAAAGAATATTTTGGAAGGGACTGAGGGAGAGTAGGGGCAATTGATCCCACTTTCTTTCCGTGGGCTGTGGGAAAATGAGCACAGTTAACCTCAAGGAGAGAAGAGATCTTCCAGACACAGGCAGATTTCATGCAGGCTATGTGGTAGAGTAAATTCCTAGGACAATATTAATGGTGAAGGGTAATTTGCTAACAAAGAAGGGTAATTTGCTTTCCATTCCTGAAACACGATGGAAATGGTCAGGAGGGAGGGAAAGGTGGGTGCGTGCGTGCTGCGTGTGTGTATTGGGGAGAGTACAGAAAAGCTTGAAGAATGATGTGATTAATAGTACCTTAGAAAAAAGGCAAGAGAGAGATCCTTTTTAGATATTCAAGAACATAAGCACTGCCCTGACCAGTGTGGCTCAGTGGGTTGGGCATTGTCCTGCAAACTGAAAGGTTCTGTGTTCATTCCTGCTCAGGACACAAGCCTGGGTTGCAGGGCAGGTCGCCAGCTTGGGGCGTGCCAGAGGCAGCCGATCAGTTTCTCTTGCGCATCGATGTTTCTCTTTCTCTTTCTCCATCTCATCCCCTCTTTCTAAAAATAGATAAAATCTTCTAAAAAAATTTTTTTTAAAAAAGAATATGAGCATCACAAATGGAATTACTTGGCCTCGCTCTTCTGATTGGAATTTGAGATGCTAGGATTACCTAAAGTTTACAAGAATAGTTCCTTAGGACTGATGATTGCAGTAGCCTCCATCTAATAATCACTTTGCATGTCAATGTTTCCATAGAAGAAGGCTTTCATTGTTCTACAGGAGAAACGCCTTTTGCTCAGAGGTCTATAGGAGTAATGCCTTTGCTCTTATGACCAACAGAAAGTGATCACAAGGGCTCCTCAAACTATCGTACCCATGTAAATCACTGGTGATAATTCTAAATCTTGGATCACGTTGATTTTTTTTTTCCTTTTATTCCAAGGTTCACTGATATAAGAAAGAAAGGTCTGGCAAAAGTAAAACAGGGCCAAGGTGGAAGCAACATACAAGGCTAGAGATGGGTTTAGAGATGTGCTCACTCACACCTTGGCCAGACAAACACTGATGTGGTCAGTATTGGAGGAATGGAGCAAGTAAAGATAGGTATGCCAATTTATGGGTCATTATGAGTTCTTCCCTGGAATGCCCCAGCTCTCAAAAAGTTGGTTCTGAGTGTTGGAGCTCATTTTTGTTGGCAAGTTTGTAGGAGGAGAGAATGGGGGAGAGGAAAGTGGAAGGAAGTCCTAAATAGCAGAAGGAAAGGAATAGATGGTATACTAGTGAATTTGGAAACTTTCCTTTTATGAAATACATTTATTTCTTAGAAAATATTTTTTATAACACTTTATGCTTTTGTTTTAAAATAAAAATAAAACAAACATGTTTTAAAAACACCTATGCCACAGCATTGCTATGCTTTTTATTCTACATACCACCAAAACTATATTTTTAAAGTCTTAAATAAAAATACAATTCAACTAGTAATTACTGAGTGCTGCATGTTATAATCTTATTGCATATTTAAACGTTTCTTTGGCCCTCACCAGTGGCTCAGTGGGTTGGGCATTATCCAACAAAGCAAAGGGTAGCCAGTTCAGTTCCAGGTCAGGGTACATGCCTGGCTTGGGGGCCGAGTCCCTGGTTGGGAGTGTGCAAGAGGCAACAGTTTGATGTTTCTCTCACACATGGATGTTTCTCTCCTTCTCTTTCTCCCTCCCTTCCCCTCTCTCTAAAAATAAATCAATAAAATCTTTTTTAAAAGTTTCTTTGTATACTCGATAGTTAAATTTATATAAAATTATGAAATTTTAAGTTTTATGTAAAATAAGGGCAAATAAGTAGAGCATGATTTGGACAGGACCAAGATATTCAGTGTTTCTCAAACTTTTCCACCAAAGCATCTGTATCAGAACAGAGAGCTCTCAGGGGTCAGGGGAAATGTCCTGATGCAAGTGCTATAAGTCCAAAATTTCTAAAAAGTATTTTAGAATAAAATAAAAATTAAATTTTTATTATTTCATTTTAAAATTTATATTAATTTATTATATTCTATAATTTGTACACTTATTTTATTATAAAAATGTTTTAAATTATTTTCCATGGAATAAAATGAATACTTTGGCAAGATGCAACGTATTTATTCTGAGTCTTCATGTATACCTAGGGGTACAAATTCCCAATTGAGAAACACAGCATTATAAAAATCATGCTATTTGAGTATTTTCCTTGTGTATTCTTACCTCCAAAGTAGGTGGAGTTTTTCTTGTTCTTCTAATCCAAGCTAGAAAAAAAAATTTAATGTAAGTTTTCTATAACTTGCACAAACATTTTACTCATTCATGCATAACACGAATATTTATTGAGCAACTGTTATATATTGTTTCAGGCACTGGAAATACAACCAGAAACCAAACATGAATTTCCTCTCCCCTGCAGTGTATCTACTAGTAAAGGGAGTACAGAGAAGAAAAACCCAAACATATGATATCAGAAGGTAATTTGTATCATGGAAAAATGCAACAGTTTGGAGGATAAAGAGAGGACATTTTCATATCTAAATTCATACCTCATATAACCATCTAAATTCAGATTAGTGTATGTATGGCATATATGCCAATCACAGTACAGTAAACTTCAATTTTGAATATAATCAAAATTATATTATCCTAAAATCTTTAATTAGTTATTGCTCAATTTATAAAAGAAGAGACATAGAAAGGTTTAATTTAAGAGATTTCTCTTCTGATCTGCTCTTGCAAGCAGCCTAATCCTTATGGTTGGCATCATCAGGTCTTACAACTAACACCTGGGAGATGAGCTGCATAGTAGAAAGAGCCCATATTTCTTAAGTGTCAAGTGGGCACTGAGCACTGCTGTAGATGCTTTACAGCAATAGGAAGGGAGTGGGGCTGCCTCTGTGGAAGTGTATCAAAATCACTGATAGTAGAAAGAAGGGTCTGAGAAGACCATAAAGACCAATGTAATTAATAGGGCATTAGATGGCCACTACAGGTAACTTTGAAAGTCTTACAAATAGCAACTAACTTCTAGAGGATATTGCTGTGGATTGAACTTTGAGAGAATAGTAGGTTAGAAGGAGGGATAACTTTCAGTTGGTTATATGCCTTCCTCTAATAACCATTAGCATGAAGAAGGAGACATTCCAAAGTGAAATATTTAAGAATTTAAAACAAAAAAGATAATGGAAGTATATAAACTTCTAAGACTTTGTTTTTTTTACTTCATTCTCTCAACAGCATTTATTTAGTGCCTACTATATGCAGTACACAAATGGATGTTCTCTGAAAGATGCTAAGGAGAAATCCATATGTATCCTGCCTGGCTCCTGTGGTACTTGCAGGCTGAAAGAGATGCCATAATCATAAGGAACTAGAACGCAAGGTGGAAGGTATTTTCAAGTGGAGGTACCAATAGAATGCTATGGAAATTCAAAGGAGGAATGAATACCCCAACCCCCACCCACAATTGGGAATTCACATCTCAATTTGACTAAAAGATTTTAAAAATTCCTCTATGATAAGACTTACACGTTTTACTGTAGTTACTTGTTTTATGTTATGTACATTTTTCGTTGGGCCATAAAATTGATGAGATTCTGTGTCTTGTCTACTTTGTCCATGACTATATTTTCAAGACTGGCACAGTGGGTGGCAGGTAATGTGTACACAATAAATATTTGTTGAATGAAAAAAAATAGAACATTAGAAAAGAGGCAAGTGAGGGCTAGTTTTTAGATGTTCAAGAATGTGAGCACCATGGCTGGGATGACTTGGTTGCATTGTTTCTGACTGGAGCTTGTTTGGGATGCTGGGATCTCAAAGTGTTTAGAAGAGTAAAGCAGATTTTCTGGGTTCGAATCCCAGATTCATTATTTAATAGCTGTGCTACCTGAGGCAGTTTATTTAATTTTCTAGGCATCAGAGTTCCCATGAATAAAATATAAATTGTAATAGTATCTGCATTATAGTGTTGTTATTAAAGTTACATCAAATAATATATTCTTCATAATTCTTAGCCAGTTTGGCATACAGTAAGTGTGCAAGTCTAAGTTGTTACTATTATCACAATTATTCAATAACCTAAATTTTTTACAATAGACTCAAAAAAGCAAAGATCAATTATATCATTTAGCCTCTGAAGATATGTAGAAAACTGTGAGAAAATACACTATAGGGAATATAGTCTTTAAAAAGTAGAAAACCACTATCTTATCACTTTATAGATTCAATCTTCATTACAAAATTGTAAGGGATCTTTACTCTATAGAGAAATTAAGTAACTCTCTCAAATTTATACCTTGGTAGTAATAGTGGGATTTGAATCCAGATGTGACTCTGTCTCTGGCTCCAAAAACTATCCACTCTCTATTAATTAAGCAGTCTCTTGAACTTCAGTAAACAATGAAAGAACACTAAACTGGGAAGGGAAATAGGTGTAACTCCATATAAGAACATAAGAATTATTGACCCCATTTTACAGACTGGTAACTGAGTTCAGAAAGATAAAATAACTTGCCTAAACTCACATAGCGAGTAAGAGACTAGGAATCAAACTCAGTTGAAGTGGCTTTAAAATCAGACCTCTGTCAGTTCACTCTCTCTTCTGATCACCTCCACCAGCCAGCCTTCCGTGATCCAAGTAATAGCACCAGGGCCTATCCTCATGACAAGCCCAGTGCTGAATGGTTGTGGGGGAAGAAATAACAATATTCAGCTATGGGCCTGGAACTAGTTATTTCTCCCTGCTCTGTTTTCTCTTGCACTGATCCCATGCGTCAATTTTTAATACAGCCCTAGTGTTTTGCCTTCTCTACTCCTGTTTCTGAACTTCTAAACCTGTTATTCTTTTATATGTTGTTTTTCTTAATAGCTTCTGATTTGGTCCATTTCTAGCCATAAGTTGTACAGGTTTTATATTCCTTATTAGGTTGTCAAAGGCAGGGTGTATCTATGGGAGATTTATTTTTCTACCACCTAAATGCCTTAAAAGAGGTGGTATTTAATACAACTGTTGAATGAATACTTCCACTATAAAATAATTCCACTATAAAATATTTGTTTTAATGGGATTTTGACCTGTATTAGAAAATCCAGGTTTGTAACAGCAAGATTCTTCTGTGCAATCAAAGAAAGAAGTGGTTCATGGAATTTTTCAATTACTTCTTTGGGATCAAAATAACATTTACTCATCTATATTAATAGGTTTTTTTTCTATAAAAGAGGTTTATTTTGAAATAATTCAACATGAGCCATATAACTCTGAAAGGTTTAAGTAGTAAATCTTCAATTTTATTCTACATTAAAAACTTAATTCAGAAAAATCACTTGGTAGGGCAGGGGTTGCAGACTACAGCCTGCAAGCCAGATTCAGCTAACACAGAACAGTATTTCAAGACACATGAAAATTAAACAGAATTCAAATTTCAGTGTCCATAGAAAAGGTTTTATGGGAACACAGCCACACTTATTTGTTTACACATGGTCTGTGACTACTTTTGTGCTACAAAAGCAAAGATGAGTTGTTGTAACAGACCACATGGCCCAAAAAGCCTAAAGTAATTAATATCTGGCTGTTTATTTATTTTATTTTTTAAAAATATATATTTTATTGATTATGCTATTACAGTTGTCCCATTATTTTTCTCTCCTATTTCCCCCCCACCCTATACCACCTCGCCCCCAGAATTCCCCCCCACACCCCGCCTTAGTTCACATCTATGGGTAGTATGCATAAGTTCTTTGGCTTCTCCATTTCCTATACTATTCTTAACCTCCTCCTACCTATTTTGTACCTACTATTTATGCTGTGTATTCCCTGTACATTTTCCCCCATTCTTCCCCCTCCCTTCCCCTCTGATCTCCATTTCTATAATTCTGTTCCTGTTCTAGTTATTTGCTTAGTTTGTTTTTGTTTTTTAGGTTCAGTAATTGATAGTTGTGAGTTTCTTGTTACTTTTACTGTTCATAATTTTTGATCTTTTTCTTCAATAAGTCTCTTTAACATTTCATATAATAAGGGCTTGGTGATGATGAACTCGTTTAACTTTACCTTATCTGGAAAACACTTTATGTGCCCTTCCATTCTACATGACAGCTTTGCTGTAGTAATCTTGGATGTAGGTCCTTGCCTTTCATGACTCTGGATACTTCTGTCCAGCTCCTTCTTTCCTCTAAGGTTTCTTTTGAGAAATCAGCTGTTAGTGTTATGGGAACTCCTTTGTAGGTAACTCTTTCCTTTCTACTTGCTGCTTTTAAGATTCTCTTCTTATCTTTAATCTTGGGTGATTTAATTATGGTATGTCTTGGCGTGTTTTTTCTTGGATCCAACTTCTTTGGGACTCTCTGAGTATCCTGGGTTTGCATGTCTAGTTCCTTCGCCAGATTGGGGAAGGAACTAGAAGGAAGTTTTCCTTCATTATTTTTTCAAATAAGTTTCAGTTTCTTGCTCTTCCTTTTTTTCCTTCTGGCACCCCTATGATTTGGATGTTGGGACAATTTAACATTGTCCCAGAGGGTATTTAAGCCTCTCCTCATTTTTTTGAATTCTTGTTTCTTCATTGTGTTCTGGTTGAATGTTTATCTCTTTTTCTGCTCCCAATCATTGATTTGAGCCCTGGTTTCCTTCCCTTTACTGTTGGTTCCCTGTATATTTTTCTTTATTTCACTTTGAGTAGCTTTTACTTTTTCTTCCATTTTGCAACCATACTCAACTAATTCAGTGAGCATCCCTATTACCAGTGTTTTGAACTGCGCATCTGATAGTTTGACTCTTTGTTCATCACTTAGTTCTATTTTTGGAGCTTAGATCTGTTCTTTCATTTGGGCCATATTTCTTTGTCTCAGCGCACATTTTACATTGGGAGGGTAGAGCCTTATGTATTTGCCAGGGCAGAGCAATCCAGGTCGCTACATTATAAAGCTGTGTGTGGGGTAGGGGTCTGAGAGGGAACAATGCTGCTTGCTCAGCTCTCTGCTGGCTTTCAGTCACTTCCCCTGCTACCACAAGCAAATTGGGCCCTCTGGTGCTGATTCCTGGGTGGGTGGGTTTGTGTACATTTTAGGACCCAGTGGGTCTCTCCAACAAGACTCTCCTGTGAGGCTGGGAGTTTCTCCTGCCACCGTAACCCCCACAGGTTTTTACCTCCAGAAGTTCTGAGGCTTTTTTTTTTCCTGCACTGGAACCCAGGACTGCATGGTCTGTCTTACTCACCAGCTGTTCCTCATAGTTTATCTGCATGCACAATGCACACTTACTATCACC